AGCTTTCTGGAAAACCCTTTGGATTCTGTTCATGGAATAAAGATCAAATACTAAGAGAAAGGAAGCAGTATATATTTCCTTAAGCAGTTTATAACAATAAAGAAAATTATTAACAGTGAATAGAGTTCTTAAAGGGAAAATTATTGTGATTTTCAGAAATGTGACCTGACAGTGCTGGGAAAAATCTGATGTCTTTTGTTAACAAAAAAGTGAAAAGCTGTTAACTTTGGTCATCTGGAACTTTTCATTTTGGATCCAGAATTTTATGAAAACCATGTACCTTGAAGCTGTAGTTTGTTCTAAAGCTGTTTTATGTCAGGTCTAGAAATAGCAATATTAACCATCAGGCTGTGAGATGGGGTGGTTTTTTCCTCTTTTAAGTGGGACTAGCTGAAGAAAGGGGTGACTCCCTTCTCTAACTTAATTTGAACTCAAAGTAACTTTTGTTGTCTTGTTACAACTGCACTTTTTTCTGAGTCACTGTATGAAAGCATTGAATATTGTAGATCAAACACTTCAAAGCCAACTTTGACTTAGTTTTATGCATGCTTTGGAGTACACTAATGTACAATAGTGTCCAGGAAACTCAGCCAGTAATTCATAGGAGTCCAAAATGTTCTCCTTAGGATGAATCATAGCAGCATAAATGATAGGATTGGAGAAGATCCTTTAGGTCATCCAGTTCAAAGCCTGTGTATCTTCCTTTTTACTAATCCCCACTAGGATTTCATTGACCCTATCTTTGCAAACCTCTCATATTCTTGAGTCAGCCACCTCCCTGGGTAGTTTCTTCCATTGCCTAATTGTTTAACCTGAACATCTTTAAACCTTATACCATCATGCTTAGTGTGAAAAATTTATGACTACAGAAAACAATCCTTTCTCCTCCCTTCTGCTGTCATGATCAAATATCATCCCTGCCTTTAAATGGTTTTGGTTTGCTGGTTTTGTTGTTTTGTTCCACCACCCCCAACCTGCATGAATAACAGTTCCAAGAAACTTGGGGCTTTTTTTTAGCTGTCTTTGCTGCTTCTGTCACTGTAACTGCTTTTCTTTGAACTTTCAGTTTTCAAGACTCAAAAGTACATTTTTATCTAGAAATGACCTTTCTGTGCCTGTGACATGTATGCATTAAGTCATGCTTTTCAAGAGGTAAATTAACAGGACTGAGGAATTCTGTCTTTGTTTATAGAAGCTGCTTTCGTGAGGGTGCTAATGTGCTCTGATAGACAAATACACAAAATTGGAGCAATTTCAGTGACTGAAGGTGGAATCTGGTTTTGACCTGAGATAAATGCAGTCTCATGTTACTAGTCAGGATGTTAATTGGATCATATATATCAACTCTGTTTCGAAAACTTCCCTCCAGAAATTCTGGGGTTGCCTACTGCAGAGGAGTTAAGATTTATCGTGCTTATTTCCAGAAGCAGTTTCCCAGTTCATAGCTGAGTTGATAAATAGAGGTGTGAACCTTTTAATAAACATTTGTCTGTGTGCTCAGACCAGTATTATTCTGGTAGGATTTTTGGATGACTTATAAAATGAAACATTGAGAACTTCATAATGGGGATATAAAGATGGAAGGAAGCTTTTTTCCTGATGAAATGAGGTAAAGGAGCCTTAATATACAGATTTATTTTTTTTATATACCCTGTATTTCTTAGGTTCTGCCTGGGCCTGTCAGAATATGCTGATGAGAAACCTCTCTGGTGTTAATCATCTCATATACTATGATGTAGCATGAGCCAGTGAGAGCAATGTGACATGGGTTAAAACTTAAACAGGGAAAGTTTAGATTGAATATAAGGAGGAAATTCTTTCCTTTTAGGGTGGTGAGGCACTGGAATAGGTTGTCCAGGGAGGTTGTGAATGCTTCATCCCTGGCAGTGTTCAAGGCCAGGTTGGATGAGGCCTTGGGTAATATGGTTTAGAGCGAGGTGTCCCTGCCCATGGCAGGGTTGGAGCTTGATGATCTTAAGGTCCTTTCCAACCCTAACTACTTTATGATTCTATGTACATTGTTCTCCTAGATGACCAGTTATTATTGCATGTTGAAAACATACAGGGCAGAAGTGGGAAGGCTGCTTATTGCAAGGCAAGTTTTCATACTGCCTCCAATTTTGGAGCTGCAGTTTGTACCCCACCTGTCCTCTCACCTCTCCTGCAGTTTACTCATGTAGGTAGTTCTTTGATCAGTGCAGGTTCCCTATAGTCATGTATAGTGCTGTTGGGCAAAGTTGTGTGAAATTGAGGTAAATCCTGCTACATTACTTCAGTTTTGCCAGCCTATAATTACAGTTAATGCATTACGTTTTGTGGATCCGCTGGGGGTCATGTGCTTGAAGGTAACTATTCGTGTTGCCCATTTTGGCATGGCAGTTTGTAGAAACAGACACAAGGGTTGTTTGTGGGAAGTCAGTGTCACAGAAATAACAGGTTTTGAAAGCAGTGTCTTGGGCACTATTTTATGGCTCAAATGAATTTCTTTGCATTATAATGTCATAATTCCTTTTTAATTTTTAACATGCTGTATTTTCAGCCTAGTAAAGATGCATCAAGAAGGCCTTTTCAGTAAGATTCCCCTCTTCTCCCCAGTATTTTTGTAAATGTCCCTTGATTTCAGTGCTGTTATGCTGCTTTACATGTTCTCTATCCAGTCCTCAAACGTATTGAAGTTGAGGGCACTGTGTAGTGGCAGTGTGACATGTCTTGAGTGTGTAGCTTAGTGAGCAATGCTCATGCAGAGGTTAGTGCCTCCTGGTCTCTGGTAGATCTGTGGCTATTTCCTTCAGGTACAAATTGCTGACCATAATCATAGCACCTTCTTGCTGTTTCTCATCTGAGCTGTGTGTGTGTGTCCAGCTTTTCTAAGAGTGGGCAGAAACTGATTTCATAATTCTTGCAAACTCTTTTCCTTGATTATGGTGGGCGAAGTACCTTTTATGTAGTATAGAGCTGTAAACAGCTCCAGATGTGATCTCAACAAAGCTGTATGGTCAGGAACAGTATTAACTGTGAGCTTTGCAGTGTCTTTTATACTGCATTGAGCTACATGAGGTATTCTGTATGGGGTATTTCACTGCAGATGCATGTCTAAAACAACTTTTTGCATTATGCTACTTCTGCAGGGCTTTCCTCAGCAAAGTATCTGTGTTTAAGATTGTTATTTCTGTGATGTATTTCAAATGGTGTCTCCTTTTATCTTAACCTTGTTAATCTCTTAGTCCTAGAGCGGTCTTTGTCCTCAACAACATTTGTAGCTCATCTTAGTTTCTTATAATCCACACATTACATTATCATGCTACCTACCTCCTTCCCCTAGATCATTAATGAAACAAGATGGGACCTGCTGCTGGTTCCTATGGCATCCCAGCATGTGCTACGTGATGAGAGTTTTGAACAAAAGAGCTGCCATTTGAGGGCTGACCTTTGTAAATCAGAGACAGCTCTTAACATGGCATTTTTAATTGTTCTTTAGAAAAAAAGAAAAAAAAAAGAAGGAAAGAAACCAGTAGAAGCTTCAGTGAAGGGAACTTCTTAGTGCCTCAGGGGCCTTGGGCTTCCAGCTGGTGCTGAAATTTTACTGCTTCAGTCTTTTGTATCTTGGTGATTTTATCCTTGATCTCCTGTTCTGTTAGCTTCATTGATGCTTTCCTTCAGTCTCAAGGCCTGAGATAAAGTTTGTTCAGTTTAGTATCAGCAGTAAAGCATTGTAAATCCTGAAAACCCCAAGCTCCAAAAACCACTGACAGTGGAAAATAAAAACTGAAGAAAGAAATGTATCTGGTTTTGTTGATGGGGAATTGCACAGATGTAAATGAAAGCATATTCTTTTAGAATTATATAGATTGTTGGTGCAAAAATCTGTGTGAACAGGATTGCGAAGGCAGTCGGGCTGACAGACAAGTGGTGGCTTGAATTTAGATGACTTGGATGCTCAGATTTTATTCTGCTGACCTGCTGGATCATTTCATTTCATTGGGGGTGTGTGGATTTCAGCTTTCTTCAGAAATGGCTCATAAAAAAATTCACAACCAAACCCAAACACCACAGAACAAAACATAAAAGCTGTGTGTTTTTTTAATTATTATTCATATATCCTTTGGAGATGGTGAGAGTATATTTTGGATTGCTTTACATTCATTAGAAAAGAATTTCAGTTAAATCATTTTCATCACAAATTAAGAGTGGACCTGTTAAATAATAAGAGCTGGGTTAAATAATCAGTTCAATGTAAAGTCAGGCAAGTATTTGCCTATACAAATTTGTGTGATTATCCATGGTTCTTTTTCTCCCTGGATTTTCCAACCAAGTTTTTATGAGTTTCTACCCACTTTTTCAGTTCTGTCAGGTTCATTATTGCAAAGATTAATATCCAGTACAGGACGGATTCATATCTTGAACTAGTACTTTAAATAGGAAACTCAAGAGTTTTGGTTTGAGGCAAAAGTTATCTTCAATACAGGGGTTTTGCTATTTTCCCCTTCTCCAAAATGTCAGTCTGGTATTTAAAAAAAAATAAAAAATATATATAATATAATATAATATAATATAATATAATATAATAGTTGTTAATGGGTTTATGGAGCCAATTTTCTATTGTTTTGCAATTTGTATTGCCAGTTCTACTTAGAAAAAGGGACAGGCAAAACGCAAGTAGATTGGAGTAACTGTGTCTCAGATTGTATTCCTGGTTGTTCTCTGTCATGTGTCTATGATGTGAAAGTGGTCTGTGATTTTATAACTTAGACTCTATCATCCACAATATGCATAAAAGAGCTGATGTCAAATTGCCCTTACTGCCTTATTTTTTTATATTTTCTAAACTTGTGAGTGCTTGAATTTGCAAGTTATGCTTTTTTTATTGTAACTGTTTTGCATGTAATAAATTGTTTCCTCCAGCTATAACCAAGGGTTTTACAAACTGATGGAGTCAACAATGTAATGCATGTAGTTGCCAGATACACTGAATATTTAAGCATTTTCTTTCTTCTTAATAGGTTTGTCTGGGGAATCAGCAGAGGAAGCAGAAGAGCCATGAAATCCAAAGACGACCCTTGGGAGGAATTTCTCTCCGATGTCAGATGCATTTATAGTGCAGCAGTACCAACCCGTTTTACCTTGCGCTGACTGCAGCTTCCAGAAGGACTGTGCTAATTTATGCAGATACAGAGCTGGGTCTCCCTGCCAACTAGCATCCTTTCCGTGAACAAAGTTTAAGCACTTACCCAACTGTGGTAGGAGTGTTGTGTTATGTTATCCCTTTCTAAGGATTCAGTTGATTGATCAAAGACTATTTACACATAGTTAAAAGCAACCTTTGTTTCAGGATATGGTTTATCTTTTTTTTTCTTAAAGATACTCTGAACGGTACCCTCCTTTGAGATTATACTAACATTTGTTATATCACAGTTTTGACAAAATATAACTATCTCGTTTCCTCCTATACCAACATTCATGATTCCAGACAACTGAATTCACCACTAGAAGAAAAACTGATAATCCATCAACCTTCTTTTTCCTCCTCTCATTGCTTATGCAGACTCTTGCTCTCTAGAGATACAGAGTAAAATATGGTTACTGGACAGAAAAGGCAAACCCTTTTGCCATAAACTATGTCACTATGAATGTGAATAAAGTTTACACTGTAAGTACCTTGAGCACAGCAACACATGGATCTTTTTATGGTTACCTGTGAGTTCTGTTACTCTTGTCAATCACTCTGTTCTATTTATGGGCAAGATTTTCAAAAGTAACAACTGATTTCTGAGTGCCTTAATTTTTATTAATCCAGTTGGAGGGTGCTTTGAGGGTTGTGTTTTTAGAAAGTGCTGACTATTCGCCTTCTGAAATTCAGGTTCATTCAAGGTGCCTGAAACACAACATGCAGCAACCAGGGTGACCTTTCAGAGGACCTTGGATTTGGAAGCAATCTGGCTCATGTCTGGATTCCAGAGGGTGATTTGAGATATCAGTAAAAGGTACTTGGGACTGAAAACAACTGAGATGTGGGTCAAGTGTAAAAACAGGCATTTGAATGAGGCCTCTCCTGGCTGTTGCTGGTTCATACCAAAATATAAGTTGCAGCCTTTTGGATAGCAGAATCAAAAGGCAATGCTTGTTTTAGCTTAGTTTCTGGTAGATGCAATTGCATGAGCCATCTCTACATCCCACTCTCCTTAACAGGGGTTGACCGACTCCTGTTGTAGCCATCGAAGAGGTCCCTCCAACTCATTTTTACGCTGTTTCAGCAGAGACTGTGACAATTGATGTGGTGCTAGGCTGGTATGTGGGTAAAAAAAGGACATTATTTTTTGGGATGTCTTAAGCCATCAACCTTTATCATCTCTGTATCTACTTTCAACTTCTTTATATGCACCCCCAGTACAAAACCAACTTTGCACCACGTCTGCATGTGCGGCTTAACTATCATCTGGTCCTACTCTGGCTCAGTGAACATAATATGACCATGTTTTACAGAGCCTTATTCAACATGTTAGCTATTAAATAGAGCTAAGTGGGCAGGGAACTGGGTTCTGATACCTCTAGGACTGAAACGGGCAGCGACTCTCAGTAAAAATTACTCTGTCCCCCAGGAGACCTCAGATATCTACAAGTTGTGGGGCCAGAAATCTTGCTGCTTTCCCAGGAAGGAAAAAATCCTACCCCCTGCTTGCTATGGAGTGATTCTGCTGGCTGTCTTTGCTCTCATCCCTCCCCCGTGGTTTTTGTCAGGAGGGTGGTATCCATCCCATTGTCCAGGTACCCGCTGCGCTGCCAGAATTACTCTATAAAATAATCTCCTGCAGTCTCTGTACACACCTCAGTGACCAAAGAAAATCCTTGGAGAACTAATCAATTACTGTAGCTATCAGGTTTAAACTTTAACCATAGATCTCAAATCTTCTTTTGTCCTCTTGTCAGCAGCTACTAGGTAATCTAGAAGAATCAACCACAGTTACTACTGGAAGCCTGTACCATAACAGTGTAGAATCCTGGACCAAAGAATCCTAAGCTATAGGCATATAATATAGCTGGAAAGCACACTACTGTGAGACTTCCATGAAATATATTACTCTGTCATAACTACCGTTATTGAATGTGATCCCAGTGCTCAGAGCTGCCTGGCTTCATTGGGAATTTAGGGTAAACAATGAGTAGGCACTGAAGTCAATTATATCATCCACTCTTATTTAAGTTATTTTCTGTCATTTTAAGATGTAAGGCTCAGAAGCGCTCTTATTTGCCTTTTCCGCTCCATGCTTTGTAAAATGAAGTCTCATGAGAATAGTTTTCCAGAAAGGGGAAAACATACTGGTAATAAAGAGGAGGGAGGAAAAAAGGGTAGAACTATCTATAGGAGTAATGTATGACCTCTTTGTACATTGCACTAAATTGCAGTATTTGGTAGCATCAGGATTTGAAAGTTGCATTGAGTAGAAATTACTTAGTTTCCACCAATGCCAAATAGTCCATCTAATTCACAGGAAGGAAGCAATTGAAATGTAGTCATTTATGCAGTAGGCTAAGAGGAAATGTTGTAAAGTAATTCTTCACAATTCTCAAATGGAGTTTGAATTTTCAAGGAAGTTCTTTTTGGCTGGAAAAATTCAGGCCACTTACAGGAAGTTTTGCATTGAAGAGAGTTGGCCAACTGTAAAGTGTAGGGAAATATTGCTAGTTTAGGGGGACCAAATGTTTGGTTCTCATCAGTGATGTTTCAGAGGCCAAGACAGGCATTGCTGCCCGATCAAACTATTTTGAACAGGATTTGAGAGTAATGCCTGATCAGTTCTTCTGGTCAGGTTGAAGACACAGCCTCTCTGCATGTTTAGCTATTTGAGGTGAAATGTGTATGTCTCCCAGATAAAAATTAATGTTTAATTATTATCTTATTGAAATTAGTTTTGTATACATATATCTAAAAGGGTTTTTTTGACAGTTTGAAAACAACATTGTGAGTCACGGCAACTCCATTATATTTGCGCTAGAGCACTGTGAAATGCATTTTCTCAAGTAAGTTCCAATGTCAAATTCATACTTTTGTGTTTGTATTAAACAGGTAAATCCTTCTGGAGTTGATTTTCTTGGTAGAGATTGTTGTCTGAATGTTATTGTCCAAGGGCTTTTCTTTCATTTTGTTTTTGTGCTGTTGCAATGTAGAAAAACAGATTAAAACAATTACTGCTCTGATGACCAAAATCTGGAGGTCTGGACTCTGCTGATCTTTTGGGCTTTGAGCACAGTGCTGAGTTCAAACTAGGACTGTGGTTTTCAGCCTCAGATTGATTCTGCTGTCCAGCTATTATTAAACTATGACACAGAAAAACAACATTTCTTTACTTTCCAGGGGCTGGGTTTTGAATGCTTTGTCTTTTTTCTCTAGCATTTACTGTAACACCAAGCATTAGAGATAAGTTCCAATATTCTTATATTGCTTAGAAAGAGTAATTTACTGCCATAAACTGAAGTTTGCTGTGCAGATTGTATTTCTATGTGAACACTTTCCAGCATAAACCCCCCGCCCACATAGTATGTATCATATTGAGTAAGTATCTTTCTTCTTATCAGAATATCCTGTTTATAAATAATCCATTTTAAAACTGCTGTAAAGGTGCAGTGAAATACATGACATACTCCTGAAACCAAGCTTCTGTATCCCTTCTTTATTTAAAATGAACCTTGAGTTTCCCAAAGCCCTGTTTGTTGTCACCCCTTGACATCAGTCTGCTTTTTTCGTTTTTCTTGTAGCATAAGGTTCCTCATCCTGTTACAGATGACTGTGTTCCTTTCCAGCTCAAAGGTAAAGTTTGTGTAGCTCTCCACTGATTTATCAACCTTCATCCTCTTGAGGGGATGGAGCACCCTCAGGTCCCCTAGAAACAAGCGGGAGGCCGAGGCACTCGCTGCCTACAGGGCAGGGTTTATAATTAGCAGAAGTGACCCAATCTAGTAGAATGCATTGTGTCTGTGACAATTTATCCTAATATTCCAGTAGACCAAGTTCAAGGTTGGTATTTATAGAAAGACTGAAAAACATTGTTTGGTTTAGTCTGAAACTCCTCCCTGCTTGTCTATTTCCTGTCTTATAAATTCTGACAATGGTCAGTGGTACCAGGAATTATTATTTCTGTCCTCTTTTGCAAGGTTGCTAGCTGTTTGCTATATAAAAGCTGCTAATATGGGAGAATATGCTTTATCCAGGAGACCAGCAGAGACACTTAGTACTTCTGTTAGCAAATGATAGTGTTAATCATGGGATGGAAGCATAACCCAGTTAACTGATATGACCTGGTGTTCTCTGACAATGTGTCCTTATTGCTGTATCTTCACATCTGCTATAGCAAGGAGTACAAACCGATGCAATATGCAAACACTTTTGAGTGATTGCTACTTTAAAATACTGTGGCATTTCCCAAGAATTTCATGATGTTGAAAGTAGGAAAGGAAGTAAAATACAATTATATTTTCATATGCACTCATTGTAGGCTGGTGTTTCCTTCACGTGCACTGTCATGTGCTTAGGTTTATTATGTGTGTATAAGGTATCAATGTGTTTGTATGAATCTGCTGTATTGAAGATTTTGGTATCCACCCTCATTCTTAAATTAAAGGATTGAGCAAAATTGTGTTTTTATAGCAGGAAAAACAACATGGAAGTAACCAGGAGCCCTGGAAGAGATCCACAATCTCAAGCCATAGCTGGTAGATTGCTATTAACTCTAATGGGAGTATTTTCCATTTGATGTACCATGAGCATATTGTATTACTCAGTTGTTTGCTAGCACCACTTTAACACTACATTCTCATAATAAGAAATATTTCTTTTGGAAATTATTTTTTACAAAACCAGTTAAAGCTACAGAGAAAAATGATAGCAGTTTTTAATAAGATACTTTGATTCATCTTTACAGGCAGAATAGAGACTTGGAGTGCTTCCTAAGTGGGGATGATCATTGCAAGTCATAGATCACCCTCCACCACAGCTCCAGCTGGGTGCAGGCTGACAGTGCGTTCAGTTGCAGAGGCAAGATAAGAGTTGTTCCAATTATGTCAGCTGTTGCCTGATCAGAAATTGTGAAGGGGAGGTCGGTCATCCTGAGTCATTACTGTAAACTGATTAGAGTCCTAAATCTATTTTCATTGAATTTAACTGGGTATTTTGCCATTGATCTTGACAGGAGAGCATCCATACTCTTCTACTGGAGTTGTGTCACAATAAGATGACATACAAGCACAGTTTAACTAGCTGGCTGATGTAATCAATTATGAGGGTCTCTCCAAAAGATACTATTCCCAAATTACAATATGCATGAGGGTTAGCTAGTTAGTATTAATTAAATAGCTTCAGCATTCCACCTCAGAAGTGGTTGCTTCTCTGTAGAGAGTGATGCTGCATATGGAATGGACCCTTACAAGTAAAAACACAGATCATTTTATACATGTTACTTCAGCCACTCATAAGATGAAATCACTCTTGGGATGAAGTATAACAGCTTTTCAACAACCAAAGCAGTTTAGGAAATCCAGCAATGAGCAGCATGCTTCCCAACCAAGATAATACTGGAGGGATGTATTTCCAGGACATGTTCTATTAACAATGCTCTTACTTAATTTGGCATTTGAGCAACAGAAAGCTGGGCCCTCTATCTTTTAAAAAGTTGTTATGGTTTTTCTAAATTGATGTTGTTCTTATTACTATTTCCTAAATTTCTCGTACAGTTCAAAACCTGGCAGCTCCAGAATCCTCTTATTATAATGAGACATTTTATCATTGTTAATGAATGTAGCATAGGTGCTATTCTTAGACAACCTTAGAAAACAACAAGGATTTTGATCCAAGGATGTCTTGGGCCAGTTCTCCTTACTCTAATAAAGCTGGTGAGACTGTATTGCAAAGTCTGCAGTGTGATTGGGAGAAAAAAGTTTTTATTGTATTGATTCTATTACTTGATTCATTTTGAAGGATAGACCAGTTCCATAGCATCTTGGATGAGTTAGAGAATATATGAAGAAGTTGGTCTATGGCAGATGATACTCCAATTCATTATGAAGCAAGTATTCAATAATTAATAGTTACTTCAAGTGCCCATAATATATTATAATCATGGTTGGATTCAATTACAGGAGACATAAAGGGAATTATTGTACTTTTTCTTCCCCTGATGGTATAATGAAGTGGAGGCAGTTGGGATCCATAAATATTGGAGAACAGTCAAGTTGCTACATATATAACAGGAACTGTTTTTTCCAGCTGTCTGGATGTGTAGTGTCTTCCTTCTGCTTGAGCTATGACTGTAACTAGCAACTGGTAAGCATACAGCTTGGTTAACATGGTGCGATTGCTTCTGATCTGGTAGAAACAAAGAGGGTTTTGCTTGGCAGCATGTTTGGGTGCCATGTTCCAGCATTAACTGGATATTTCATGGTGGCACGACATGTATCTTTCAGCATGACACTGGACAGCTGCCTTGCAGACCTCAAGATGCAAGTCCCAGAAGCCGTCAAATTTTCCCATTGCAATAGTATTCCATCTGTAAGGATTTGTCCCCTCTGGTAGTGACTAGAGGGCCTGGAAGGAGGAAGAGGAGACCCAGGGATCTGGATTCCCATCAGGATTGTGTTCTAAAGCTCCCATGGCAACTGCCACAGAGAAATGTATTCTGAGAATAGGAATCCTGTTCATCTGGGTAAGAGTGTGCCCTCAGGGTTAGTACATGTGGGTATTCAATGATCAAGCAGTAGGGCTGGATTCAGTGGTAGCAAACAGCTTGATAGCAGTAAAAGAAGAGTAAAAGTGGCCAAACAACCAAAAGTTTCTGTGGCCAAACAACCAAATAAGAATATGGACAATATGGCTGGCCCTTCAGAAGAGCTAATGATTTATCACTGCCATGCCAGTTGTACCTTTCTGGTTCCACATCACTGTGAATGAAGAGGTTGAGGATCACAGGAAAGCAAGGTCCAAGCAGAATTGGATGATACTTCCTCACTGCAGGCAGTCAGGACTGGAAAAAGTGGCCTTCTGTTAAGTACCACAGGAAAGGTTAGCAAAGATAAGGTGGAAGAGAGCTATGAACATGCAGGTGGTTGCAGATTGCGGATAGTACACTGTTAGTGTACTCAGAATTGATTTTTCTATTTTGGTCTCTCTTTTTAACAAAGTCATTCCACATTCATTAGTTCATCTCATGGGGAGAGGAGTCCTTATCATCCAAATTTTTGTAGATAGCAGTCACTCTTGCAATCACAACATTCATTTCTTCTCCTATTTGCTTCTTTCTTTTTTCTCCCAGATGCCATTGACCATAAATTGATGGTTTTGCCCAGCAGCCACTTTGTAGATGTGTTTTAAAATTCTGAAAGAAGGAAAACTTGCAGCAAAATGAGTGTTTTCATGAAACCTTTAAAATACAATATAGCTGTTCTTCTCTGGGATGAATAATACTACTTTCAGCATCAGGAAAATAATGAATGGAAAACCAAATGTGCTCTTAAGAAGCTGAAGCTTTTTTGAAAGGGCTACTGCCCAAGTATGTCATCCAACGGAGGAAAGTTGGTAGCTGCATTGTTTTTTGTACGACAGCTACCCAGACGGTGATGTGATACCTTTTATTGGGCTAACCAAAGTTAAAATTAGAACTGAGCAAATAAATCCCAATGAGTAACAGAGTTTGTACATTTAACCTTTCTTGCTTCTTATTAAGATCAACTTTTTCAAACCTGGCCACTGATTTTTTGGCTTCCAGTTTACAGCATGCTGAGGGAGGACCTAATTTCTAAGCCTGGTGAGCTTCCTACCTTCAGCTTGGTAATGATTGCACAAAACCAAATAGGCATAACGGTACAGCCTTAGTCCTACTTGTTCAGGATTATTGCATTGGACAGAACAATTTCTACAAATCCTCCCACATCTCTCTTGTCATTTGGAGATACCCAGTGCCCAAATCTGAACCCTGAGTGTTTAGCTGAGTTAGGTCTCAAAAGAGCAGGCATGTCCATCCCTCGGGGGTTGAGCTAGGATGTGAATTCAGGATTTACCTGTGTGTTTTATGTATTTGGGTTGCTATAGCATTGCCAGGGGAGGCTTTGTGGTAACATTTATGGAAACCTGCATGCACTGTGACTTTTTATATAAAGGTTTGTCACCAGACCACTTCCATGTTGACTTCTGATTTGAAACTCGTTCCTCTCCTGGTCATTGTCCTCACTGCTGTAAGTTTTTATTCACTAAGTTAAAAACAAATTATTCCTTCTCTGTATCACTTCTGCCCCTGTCTATAGCTGCCTCTCCTTCAGAACCAGTCGTGCACCGCTGGAGGTAAAGTGAGCAGCACAGCAGAGGTAAGAAGATCCAACCACTTGTAAATATCAAAGTTGTATAACTTGCACTGATTCACCATTCAGGGGTGTGGTAGAGCAGTTTCTATAATGGTAAACTTACTCACCAAAGTGGCCAGAGGACATTTTTCTTCAGAAAAAAACAGCCAGAGGGTATAAGCAAAAGGAGAACCT